TGTGGTGTGGGTGGTGATGGTGTGGTGGTGTGGGTGACGTGGGTGGTGATGATGTGGTGGTGTGGGTGGTGTGGTGGTGTGAGGGGTGGTGTGGGTGGTGTGGGTGACGTGGGTGGTGATGATGTGGTGGTGCGGGTGGTGGTGTGGTGGTGGGGATTCGGGGCAACCCTCTAATGGGGGACATTTGAGCCAAGGCCAGAGAAGGTAAGAGAGGAAATCCCTGGGTATCTGAGGGAAGGTAGTCCACGAGAGGGAACCCCAAGTGCAAAGGCCTGGCCTGGCTCCTGCTTAGCCTCTTGAAACAAAGAGGTGATGTGGCTGAAGTGAGTGAGAGGGAGGAGCAGAAGGTGAGGTCAGAGAAGCAGCAGACGCCAGACCAACCAGGAGACCCTTGTAGGGATTTTGCCTCCTGTTCTGAGTGTGATGGGATGCCTTGGAGAGCACTGAGTGAAGAAGCAATATGCCCGACTTGTTCTTAGGAGAATGTTGGGGCGGACGGGTGGCAAGAAGGTGGGTTAGGAGGTGAACCCCTGGCCGGCTGCATAGACTGAGTGGAGGCTGCCTGTGGCTGTGACACATCACACACAGGCCTTGCCCTCCCTGACCCTGCAGCAGCCTCTGCTCCAGAGCTCTCCTCTGCTCTTGAACCCACACACGCTCCCCCATCTTGGCAGAGTTCTGTGGCGGGTTCTAACCCCATCCGGTGGAGTCTTCATTCTGAAGGCTCACTGTGTATTGGCTTGCTTGAATACTGATTGTGCTCCTTCCCTGCTCTTAAAGGCTTTTGGTTCATCACATCTTGTAATAATTAAAGCATTTTATAGTTTAAATCAATACTGTTTAATAGAAATATAATGCAAACCCCAAAGACAAGCCACATATGTAAATTTGAATTTTTTGGTAGCCACATTAAAGACAGTAAAAAGAAGCAAGAAATATTAAATTTAATAATACATTTTATGTAACTCAATATCTCTACAACTACCTTTTTAACATCATATAAATTAATATTTCAAGATTAATAATATACACATTAATGAGATATTTTACATTCTTTTCTTTTCCTACCAAGTCTTCAAAGTTGTATTTTACACTTACATCACGTCTCAAGACCAGCCACATCACCAATGCTTAGCAGCCACATGTGGCCAGTGGTACCATTTGTACAACACAGGTTTCAACTCCACTCATTTGTGAGGTTTAGCCCACATCACAGTCTTTATGGCATGGGAACAAGGGTCGGCAGTTCCAGACTGAAAAAAGAAGAGGGAAAATTGTCCAGGGAACAAATTGGATCAAATAATGTGGGATTGAGAGCATTTTTCCATTTAGATTTTAAATACATTGGGGCTAGACATCTTTAAAATGATATATATAGCCAACAACAAGTAAATTACCAATTTTATGGTCATTCAATTTATTTACTCAGTGTAAGAATCTAATATGGACTACTCTGATTTCATTATGGCTGTGGCTGCATTTTTGGTTTCTTATTCCAACTTGTCCTTTTCCTTTGTGCTATTTAGTACCAGGTTACAGAGTTCTAAATATGTCTGTTTTAACTATAATGCCACCAAAGATTTTTCTTCTTATTAAATGCAGTGATTGACAATCTCCAATATGCAAGTGGGTGGTGTTTAGATTTCAAATACAAATAGATAACATATATAGAAAAAACTGTTTCCAGGAATGAATGGTTCAGCCAGGCAACCCACACAGACTTATTAAAAAGATAGCAGAGCTAAAACTGTGATATTATTAGTGTAAACTGGGTCTCCCTTAAGTCAAACTTCTTAGACTGGGGCTGTGTATCCCTGGGAGTTCCCAGAAATATGCGGGAGTACAAAAAGACAAGGGTTGGGGCCGGCCCCGTGGCTTAGCGGTTAAGTGCGTGCGCTCCGCTGCTGGCGGCCCGGGTTCCGGTCCCGGGCGCGCACCGACGCACTGCTTCTCCAGCCATGCTGAGGCCGCATCTCACATACAGCAACTAGAAGGCTGTGCAACTATGACATACAACTATTTACTGGAGCTTTGGGGGAAAAAAATAAAAAAATAAATAAATAAAATAAATAAAATAAAATCTTCATAAAAAAAAGACAAGGGTTTATCTAGAGCATTAATAACACTTGAAGGTTGGGCTAGAATTCTTATTTTATATTGTTGTGTTTGGTAAAGTACTACATTTCTGTAAATTTCAAGGTCAAATATGTTGGTCATTTTGTACCTCCTGCCTTCACCTAAGTTCATGTGCATACTCATTTGCCATTAGGGGACTAGTGTGGAAAACTAAACTAAACTAGAGAGAGAGCAAATAGGAATGGAGAGCAGAACCCCATTTTCCTGCCTCTGCTCTAAACAGTTATATCTGGAAGCCCCTGTTGGGTGCCTCACTGCTTTCAAAGAATCCTTCTCTACCAAGTTCTCTCCCCAATTGCTGCCAAAACCCTGCGGCCCTGAGCCTTAGAAAGGGGCAGCCCCTCCCCACCATGACTGTCTGCGAAGGGGAGAATGACTATAGGCTGGTCCTGCTCACCACCCAAGCTGGGAGCTCCTTCTATGTGCTATCACTGTCAGGAAGAGAGGCCCAGAACATCCAATGTTTAGAGAACCATCAGTGACCAACACTGCCCATGTTTAGTCTTTGTTTATTGCACATATGCACCAACACCATCAACTCCAGAGACAGAACAACTGTAAGACTGATGCCATGTTATACTGAATATCGCTCTTTCCATCCACCGCTGCTCCACGTTCCTTGTAGCTATTTTCCTCTTCCATTTAGATGAGTTCTTTCTGAAAATGCAGTACTTAATGGAAACAAATCTATTTTGACAAGTTGAATGTAAAATTATGTTATGCTAAAAACTTAAAGCTATAACTCATTTTAAATTCCCATTGCCAGAATGGAAAACAATTGTGATTGAAGTGATGGCAAGCAATATTACTGCTAAATGACCTGTTTTCCTTTAGCACTCAATTTTGTAAGAAAACTGCATTCCTTTCTATCTTTAAGTATTCTTTCAAGTTGCCCCTGAATAGCAGTAACTGAAATAATTTTAAAAGCCTTGAGTTATGTTTTACATTAGAGTTCTAAAGAGTATTTGGTTTTAAAAAGCAAGCAAGCAGCGAGCCATCCTTCTTAAAAGTCAGTCCAACTTATTTTTAGCTTAAATACGCAAATTGTCATTTGGGAGTAATACACTGGAAATAGCCTTAGAACTTAAAGTATAGTATAGAAAACCCTATCCATCTACCTGTAGTTAAGATGTTAGCTGCTGTTTTTCTTTATCACTATCTTTGGAATGTCCTCAGTACTTGTGAATATGAGATACATTCAGAAATAGATGGATAGATTATCCAACAAACACGAGAATAGCTCTCCACACATACACAAAACTTAATTCTCATTTTTTGTCTGTACTTTCCTGATGTTGCTGTATATGTACATTTTTTACCACATTATGTAGTAATATAATATCATTGTAACTTTATTTGAAGAGGCCTCATGATAGTAATATTTTGTCCTCACATACCAAAAAATGTTAATACACTGTATGACATATGGTTCATTCTTCATTAAGATTTCCTTTGATTTCTATTTATTATGCCTCTTTACTTCATGAAGTGTAAGAAAACTTTGCTCAAAAAAAAATGTTCCATGATCTCAAACAGATCTTAAGTTATTTATGTGAATATCTTTTTTCTCTCTCAAAAATAAGCTCTTTGGCCACAGGCGCCTGTCATATCTGTTCCCTCTTGGTATCCCACAAAACACTCAGCCCAGAGTAGAACATAGAGTAAATTTTCACTAAGTGTTAGTTGAATGAATTATCGCCTTCCAGAACCCCAGAGCTTGGCCTGAGTACTCAGAGTTGCATAGCATTTTGTCTTTAATGTTCCCTTCACACAACCTAGGAAACTAGGTTTGGACACTGGCAGAATGCTCCATAGCCTCCCAATCTAAGTTTGAATATATTTTTCTTGATATAACTTATTAAACATTTAAAATGCTGTGAGTCATTTTTCCGTCCCTTCGTCCTCCCTTGATTCATTCAGGAAACAGCTTTATTCACTCTTTAGCTTTAAAGTTTTGTGAGATACCTATTTTAAATTATAAACACATGAAAAAATACTTAACCTTACAAGTGATAAATGTAAAACTGAGCAACAGTAAAATCTTGTCTGTGCTTATTAAAATAGCTGCAAAAATAATTGAAATTATGTATCCAATGCTGATAAAGTTGTGAAAAAGTAACACAGAGTGGGTGCCTATAAAAGCAGATAAAACTCAGAACGCCCTTGGAAAGCAATTTAGAAATATTTACAGAGGTGTTTATTTTAGTTTATCTTTAATAGCAAAAATTGGAAACAGCCTAAGTATTGAACAATTGGGACAGATTAGACGGATTATCCCATCTGACTTTGATGGATGATAATCAAACTATTCATGAGACAATCAAGAAGACTGTGGAAAACAAATGTGTGGTATAAAACTACAAAAAATCAGAATGTCAAACTATGTAATAAACTAACAATTTCTTGAGAATATGTAAGCATAAATAAAAAAGACTAGAAGGAAATAGGACAAAATGAAACAATTATTATGGAGGGATGGGAATATGGGTGCAATTTTTTTGTTTCCTTTTATGTTAAAAGATTATTTTAACAATATATAAAATCAAAGAAAAATAGGGATCAGGTTTAGTCCCTCGATGTTCATATATTAAGGAGGATGTTATGCAGATACCTACGCGGCATTTCTCTTCTTTGCTTCAAAATCTCAGCATGTATTTTGTCCAAATCCAGGGGCTAAACCATTTTTTTTTTTGTTATTATTCTGGCTACCATGGTTATTCTTTGGAAGTCTAAACAAAGTTTGTATTGTTCCCTGGCAGCATCTCTTGTCTGCATTAGCCCATGAGTTATGATATTGGCGTGTCCTGTTGTAGAGTCTTTGAAGAAAGCAGGCTCGATAGCTCTTTTTCTGGTTGCAGAGTAAATGATAGTCCTCTTTCAGGGTATATTCTATTTCCAAGTTCTTACTTTTTTTTTTTTTTTTTGTGAGGAAGATCAGCCCTGAGCTAACATCCATGCCAATCCTTCTCTTTTTGCTGAGGAAGACTTGGTCCTGGGCTAACATCTGTGCCCATCTTCCTCCTCTTTATATGGGACACCACCACAGCATGGCCTGACAAGCGGTGCCTTGGAGCACACCTGGGATCCGAACCCGGGCCGCCAGCAGCGGAGCGCTCACTTAACTGCTACGTCACGGGGCTGGACCCTCAAGTTCTTACTCGTTATTATGTACAAATGGCATATCCAAATTTTCCTATAATGGCTATCATTATTCTAAGTCAACATTTTTGCCATTTTACCAAGGAAAGTGTAAGAGTTATGTATGTTATAGTGCAACTGTGTATAGGAAGCAGAGTTTCTTCCTGGGAGTTAAGACTTTAGCAATTGTGATAATCCAGTATAATAGTAAAATATTTTTTGCTCTTCTGGAAAGACACATTAGCTTCACATTGCTTAGTTTATCTGGTAGATGTACAAAAATCATCTTTATATAAGTTATATTTAATTCAGGTTTCTATACATTCTGGGAGGTCTTTTATAAATGGGGAGTATAAACAAAATGATAATGAGAGCCACAGTAATATTCATCATTGACTCTCTCCCAATTTCTAGATGCATCCATTCATTCATTCAGCAATGCATCATACTGTTAAAAGCACAACCTCTTAAGCCAGATCATGAGAGTTCAGATCTTGGCTAGGGTTGTGTAAATCTGGAAAAGTCACTTTAGCTCTCTGTGCCTTTGTTTCTTTATCTATTGCATAGAGATAAAGATAGTACTTACCTCGTAGAAATTTATGAGAAGTTAGTGAGTGAATGGATGTAAAAGTCCTGGCACCTAGGAAATGTTACTATTATTACTAATGTAGATGTTCTTGAAGCTGAGAGTACAAATATAGAAATGGCACGGTTCCTGCCCTGCAGGTGACTTAGAAAACATTCTTAAAAGTAAACTGTTTGTTGTGAACCTAAAACTGCTCTAAAAAATAAAGTCTATTTTTAAAAAAAATCAAGTAAGGAGCAACTCTTTTAACCCTCAGTGGAAAGAAGAAAGCTTACCAGTAGTTGAAGCACAGAGTAATGACTTTGGGAATGTTTTTATGTGAAAAAGAAATTCTAGTTGGTATAAGTTTGAGCCACATGGAAGCACTGAGAGCCAGAGTATCTTTCTTTTTTCCCCCCAGTTTTATTGGGATATAATTGACATATAACATTGTATTAGTTTTAGGTGTACAGCATAATGATATGATATATGTATATATTGTGAAATGATTACCACAATAAGTCTAGTTAACATGCATCACCTCACGTAGTTACAATTTCTTCTTTCCTTATGATGAGAACTTCTAAGATTACTCTCTTAGCAACTTTCAAATATACAGTACAGTCTTCTTAACTACAGTCACCATGCAGAGTAGCTTTCTTTGCTTCTGACCACTTCAAGGGACTTTTCCTCCTTGGAAAACAATTGTTGGTTTGGAGTCTAGAAATACTGGTATACACCATCATCTTTCTGAAATGGGAAATTTTTCTAGTCTAATAGGCATCATCTTTTTTCCAAATGTCTATCACTCACATGACAATGAGAACCACAAGTCTGAATGTTTATGCTGATTATTTTTACAGTGAAAGTGGAAAGAGAGATCAAAGCCATTCTTACTTTTGCATCAAATGTGTCTAAATGAATTAAGTAGGTCTTCAAAGATGTGTGTGTTCTTCAAGATTTAGATTTGCTCGTTTGATTAAGTCTAATAAACATAATGATTTAGTCTTTATTTTCCTGAGCTGGAATCATTTAAAAGTTCTCCATCAAGAAAGTCTTAAATTTTTAGATGTCTTTTACTCATTCCACAAATATTGATTTGATGCCTACAGTGTGCCTAGCACCATGCTAGATATTCATTTCCATTGGCGAATTGTTTGAGTTTTCTTAATGGAGGAAAGGCTGAACAAAAGAAATTAACCCTGTTGTATCCTTGGTCCCTAGCACATAGAATTCTGGAGCAAACAAGCTAATTTGTATTTACACTAGTAGTCACTTATTTTCTAGCTACTTCTAGAGCATTATTCGATGATCATGTCCTTTAATGATCTATATAGTGTGTTGATTTTGTCTGTTTTATTTAGTAGTATCTATTTTTTATTTTGAGGGCGAGCCTGGGTTGCCTGGAGCGGTAGGACAGAACGGAATACCAGGGCCAAAGGTGAGTACAAATAAAACTAATCAGAATCATTTGAGACATGAGTTTTCATGCAATTGTAAGCTATTACAATTTTTTTTATATCCTACTGGTTTTACTTGGATAGAATTTTTTGTCAGTAGTATAATATGCTACAGTATAGAACATTGTGACTAATGAATAAATTATGTTTGTGATTCTCATTAGCATTAAAAGTGTAGAAAAACAAATAGGATATGATTGTTTAAAATTTTTATCCTGAGATACTTACATAACGTGAGAAAGCCTGTGTTTCAAATATGACCGTTGTCTTTTTACCACTTAATGAGCGTATTAAAACATAGGCCATGTCCATACTGCCTGAAATTTGCATATTATTTACAAGACTTACTAAAGATGATGTTCACAATACTACTGTGGCTTTTCCTCAAAATTTGGCCACCTCCAGCTCTTACACAACATAACCAGTTAGTTAAATTAAGAACAGAATAAAGATGTGGCATGTTTAAAATTTAAAAGTGGATATAGTCTGAATTACTAAATAGAGAAAAAATGTAATGAGGATTTTTTTTTGGATTACAAGTTTTCTTTGTTTCTTAAAGAACAAATGAATCTGTTAAATATAAAAAGATTGGTGACAGTTTCATTTAAACCAAACAGGCAGACAAATCCCAAATCCTTTGATGAGTGAACATCCCTTGAAGTATAAAACTAATGTCTAATCCCATCAGCTGTGCTGGTGTGTATCCATACCCACAGATGCCTGTCAGCTGATTTTACAGATCACATTGCTATTGACAGGCGCCTAAGACAGACCTAAAATTTATAGACCTGTCCTTTGTCCTGCAAGAGAGGAAAGAAAATATTCCTTCTGGGACTACAGCCATTCTCCTGTCTCCTTCTCACTCTAGCTCCCTGCAAAGAAGCCCAAGGATAGGAGTGAATGCTTAATGCATGTTCTCAGTGCTTTTCTTCTGTTGCCTAGCAGCCATCAGGATGGGTGTTGAGCAGTGAAAGGTGGCCAGAAATTCAGAAAGCCAAAGGGTCAGGCTGAGTTTCAGGGAATGAAAAGAGTTGCTTCCAAACTGACTTCTAGAGTGGGTTATAATTTTAAAAACAATAACCACCTTAAAAATCATTTTTAAAGTAGTTTGATCTTATGGCAGCACTTACTCAAGCTTTTCTAAGAGGAATATTACCATAATGTGTATGATTTGCTTTAGAACTCACCCACGCCATTCCCTGTCCCTTCCTGGTGAAGTGAAAATGAGATTCTCTTCAGAGCACAGTTTTGCGTTTTAGTCCCCATACTGTCCTGGTCATCATTTTGAGTCAAGACGTCTCTCTTAAACTCACTTTGATTCTGCTCCTTTCCAGTGTCTTTCCTGAAGGTGTCAATCCCTCCTAAAATACACCTGATTTGGTACATGCTGGTTACCAGCAGGTTAAAGAGAGTTCATGACATTGTGAAAGGGTCCAAGTTCAGGACTGTGTTTATCCTCATGTTAGGGGAAGACAGACTGAGGAGCTACACTGGGACTCCTGACCCCTGGGATAATCCATGCACCAGGCGCTGCTCTAAATAGAAGACTTCGTGGAAGGGTGTGCTAGCCCACCTTATTGATTCTGATTTTGGGCAGAATAAAAAGTTGTAGACTAAGAAGCCTCTCCAGACATTGAATTGCCACCACATTGTTCTCCTTGGTGCCCAAAAGGCAGTTTCTGGGGGATAATCTTCAATAGCTTTCTTTAGTCCTCTGAAAACAAAGAATTAAGATTACATTTGATATTGATATCCATACCCAATTCTCCAGGAGACTCATCTTACCATTTGCTTTCATATAGCAATTATATATTGCCAAAATAGAAAGTATCACATATAATTTGCCTAGTTCAATATCTGATTTTGTTTGCTTAATTAGGTGTTTTACAATTTAATACGTCACTCAATCTTTGTTCTTTTGCCCAGGGAGAACCTGGAGAACGAGGAGAAAAGGTGAGAACGATTCTGCCTCTATTTATCTTTTTTTCACCCAAAGAGCTACCAAACTGAACTGTACATACATGTGCATAGATAGATGTAGGTATAGATATAGATAGGTGTAATAACAATTTTTTTTTCAAACTGTTAATTAGTGGAAAGAGAAAATAGTGTAATTCTTATGTATGGAGAGAAGTTTGCGTAAAAAAGGTTTAAAGAAATGAAGGTAAAGGGAGCAAATTTAAACATTCTGTGTCAGGCTTTTAAATGGCTTTCAGAAACCCTGGGATTACAAACTTTCTGTTCTCCCTACTCGCTCATGCCATTCCAGTGCTTCTCTCGGCACCCACATCTCTCTGCTGCGTCTCAGGTCTCTGGGTTAAAGGGATACAGACGTTCACCTGCGGCAAATGTGCTCAACGGCGCCCCACAAAAATTCCCATGAAAACCAAGAAGAGAAACAAAAGGAGAAGCAGAGTGCTAGGTGTAACTTCTCTCAGACGACCTTCCTTACCACTTCTGGGCACGTCCTAATTATTCAGACTCGCAGTGCGCACTGGGTGCTGATTTTCCTGGTTCTCATGCTGTTTCTTTTCGTCGTGTTTGAGAAGTGCGCTGTCCGAGTAGGCAACTACCAAGATACTGCACAGTGCTCCTCATGAGTGACTCGATCTTTCTGAAAAATCGATATTATCACGACTAATCCCCAAAGAAGTGCATTTAAAGATCCCGCGAACTTCTTGAAAGTAACTGTATTTTTTGAGATTGTGAAACAAAAAGAAAAAAGGCGTTTATTTAAATGGGAAAACTGAGCAAAATGGCTCAGTCAAACCCTTTACCTCATGACCATTCTGAGCCAGTTTTCCTAATAAGGAAGTTTGTTTTGTTTGTTTTGTTTTTTAATAAAGGGATTTTCAAGCAATTTTTCAAAACTATGCTAATAGGCTGCCTATCAAAGGTCCCTCATAACAGATTATCAGTACATTTATTTGGCATCCAACCAGTTCGTGGTAATTAACTTGAAATTAATTAGTCATCAGATGATTCTTTTATGTAGAAATTCTAGAGGGAAAAGGAGCAGGGCCAGCGCCGTTGCAGGATTCCTCAGATAACGTGGCTCAGGCGCCTGGCCCATTGTGGTGCATGCGTGGCCAGACAGATGCCTGAGCAGGCTAGCGTCATGTTTATTTGAAACAAGAGAAGAAAATGGAGATAAAAAGTGAACATCTCCCTCCCTCGCCACCCCTCCTTCTCCAGGGAAACCATTATCAATAGTTTCTGTCTTATTTTAAGGAAGTTTTTAAATGATAGATAAGTGACCTCTTATGAAGCGAGAGAGAAGGGCGTTCCAGCTTGTGGACTATCTGAACAATAATGCATTGTTATTGCTAACGGCTATCATTGACAGCTTATGACGTGTCAGATCCTGTCCTAGTTGCTTCACACACGGTATATTGTTTATTTCTTATAACCCCATCAAGTGTTCTTGCCCTTGCATTACACACGAGAAGCGTGATGCAAAGAGAGTTTCATTTGCCCAGTAGGTGCTGGAGCTGGACTCAGTCTCTCTGACTTCAAAGTCCATGAAGTTTCCACCATAACGTGCTATAAGACTTAGAGTAAGGAATTCAGAATTGAAGGAAGAAAAGCATGGATAACGAATGAATGACTTTTTTCTAATGCTTTGCTCTGTGGGTAGAAAGGAGATGTCAGTGAGAGAGCAGGCATTGGAAATCGCAAAAATAACTAAGGAAGCATAAACTCCCCAATTTATTTTACTCTGATTGAAAAAACAAAGAGTTTTCTAATAAAATATAAAACATCGTTTCACAAGTGCAAAACATGTAGGCACAGGTAAATCAATCTTCACTGCACAGGTTTGGAGGGCTGTGTCATGCACTTCGAAGCCCTGGAAATTTGAGACGGGCTTGAAGACAGAGTAAGATTGATGCAGATCTGGGGACAGGAGAGGGCAGGAGTCCAGGGGGCAGGGTTGGCATGAGAAAGGACCTAGAGGGGTAAGTCACATGGCATATTGAGGTGATGGTCAGGAGAAAGCCTTTGTTACCGCAAAGCTTTGAGCAGAGGGGCGAGGGGTAGAGTTAAGACGGCTTTTAGTGCCAGAGGAAGCTATTAGGAGTCAGAGAAATTACTGCTTTCTGTTAATATTGTGGAGTTGTTCAACCACGGTCACTGTAATAAAATTTATTCGGACCAGTTGATATCAGGCCGCTGGTGATGTAAAAGTACCTTAGCTCTGTAGAACATTTACAACAGATTTTAATATGTAGTGCTTAAAACTAATGAAAAAGACTCTTTGCTTAATGTCACCAATATATTTTACATGTATCGTCTTTTCCCCCCTTAGGGAGATGCTGGAGAGAATGGCCCCAAAGGTGACACAGGAGAAAAGGTACAGTGTGGTGAAATATGGAAGAACATGTGTATGAGCAAGAACTGTTATTTCATGTGTGTGGAAATGGGAGATTTTGAGAGGAGTGAGTGAGTGGTGCTAGCCTAGTATGACAAGATCAGAGATAATTCTGCAAGATTAGAATACATTTAAATATTTAATTTATGAAAGGTGATTATTTCACAAGCTCCTAGCTACAAATTTACATATTTTAAAAGTAAAATGGTGTGTCACAAATTCTAGAAAACATGTAGCTAGGTTTTAAGTTATATGGCTTTCAAGGAATAAAAACTTATTCATGTGTAAATGGGACACTCCCTCCTTAGGCAGAGATATAAAAATAGAGTTCCTAAAGTGATTGCATTTGTCCCAGTTTTAGGAGAGAACATTGCAGAGGATTGTGATGAGATTTAAAAGTTTGACAATAAGTGGATGTCACTTGATTAGAGCCTCGAACGCATTCTTGAAAATTTGCCTCAACTTGAAATCTACTTAATGCAGATATTTTGTCAGCCTTTGTATTGTCATTTTTTTTCATGTTTTAAACCATTATTAGCACTTATATTGCGCTGCTCATGTGGCTCGTCTTCCTACCTCCTCACTTTTCTTCCCCAGTATATTGTACCTTTTGCTTGGGTTCATACTTCACGGACATCTCTGACATAGAAAGAACGTTTACTTCACTTGTACTATATGTTAAGAATTAAGAAAAAGATCTTTTAAGAAACTGAAACTAGAATATTCAGTCTGATTTTAATTTAAATCATGCTGTAACTGAGTGATGAAAAAAAGAATTATCCATTTAGACTTACAGTTGAGAATAAGAATATTCCACTTTGAAAATTATTACAGTACAGATGGATAATGGTTAGTCGTAAAAACATACCCATAAAATAAAGAAAAATTTATCTTTCTCATTCTTATAAATATTAATATAAATATGGCATGAGTGGTAGGAATGAATTAATGTCACCAAGTAGCAATTGTGTTTGTGTTGGAGGAATAGTCTAGAAATTAGTTTCATGTAGAAACTCAGTTTCTTGTAGACCAGCGTTTTTCAGCCTCAGCACTGTTGACATTTTGGACTGGATAATTCTTCTTGTGGAGGCTATCAGATGTTTAGTATCATTCCTGGCCTCTGCCCACTAGATACCAGTAGCATCCCCAAGTTGTGACAACTAAACCTGTCTCTAGACATTGCCAAATGTCCCCTGGGAAACAAAATCATCCCTAGTTGAGGACCACTGCTGTAAACCCATTTTATTTATCTGTCAAATTTAAGTACCATGCTGCAATCAAATATGGCATGAATATGTTTAATACTAATGAGACCAATGATATAGCTCAATTCCTCTCGAAGTCAACATTTCAAACCCCAGAGAGATAAACCTGGATGCTATATTTAACTTTCTTGTTTCTGCTTAGAAGCAGAGGGCAGAAAACTTTTCCTGTAAAGGGCCAGAAATAAATATTTTAGGTTTTGTTGGCCATATGGTCTCTGTCACAACTACTCACCTCTGTGGTTGTAGCATGACGGAGACCATAGACAACGTGCACACAAATGAGTGTGGCTGTGCTCCAATAAAACTTGATTTCTGGACACTGAAATTGTAGTTTCATGTAATTTTCACGTGTCATGAAATATTATTGTTCTTTTGATTTTTTTTAACCATTTCAAAATATAAAAACCGTTCTTAGCTCATGGGCCACACAAAAACAGGTGGCCAGCTGGATTTGGCCCTTGGGCCATAGCTGCCAACCTCTGCTTAAAGAAAGGAAATCTTCTAAACAGAGAGCAGTTTCTTCAAGTGAATAGAACTGTATGCCAAGTTTGAACTATGCCTATGTGAATTTATGTAGAGACTTTTATGCTTAGAAGATGTATTTTTAAAACTTCATTTTTTGAACATAGGCCAATAATTGTTTCTTTAATCACACATTTTTTAAATTTAATTTTCCAGTAGTAAGGGAACTTTTTTCTTTGAAAAGATCAAGTTCATCTCAAAGGAATACCATTCTTATTTTTTATATTAATGCAAATCATTTACCATACTGACTTACACATAGTAAATTTCTTACCACATGGAAATTGAAATCAACTAAATTGGTTATTTTTATTTTCTATCAAAAAATTTTATTAGTCAACTGAAATTAAGTACAAGAAACGCTTCATTAAAATGGATATCGTTTCTATAAACTTTCAAGGGATCTAAACAGGGGATTGTAAATAGGAATTTGTAATGTATAATATGTAATCTGACCTCTAGCATTCATCCCCGAGAATACTGTAATTGGATTATAATTTTTGATGTGTTTTTTAAACATTTCCTGCTTCTGTCGTATAACTTGTTTCCAGCATGTTGGAAACAGTCTTCCCGTGGCCTTTGGGTTCTCTATGTGAAACTCATTTATCATTTACCAAGTTTGAGATGTAAAATCAAAAAATGCTTCTTTTCTGCCATTGATGTAGTAAATTACGTCATTGACTGATTCATTTTAATAGGATTTTTTTTTCCTTTTGATCCAACTCAGTGCCTTTGGATGGTAAAGCAATCTAAGCCTTTCCAGACTGGTCATCTGGAAATGCTGTGGAACTATAAAAACCACTAGGCTGGTTTTTCTCTGTGGCCAGCAACTACAGTGCATCGAGGTTTAAGAATGACCTGCTGAAGACTGATGTCAATCATGTGTGGAGTTACTATGGAAAGGCTGTGTTTTGCTCTTTGGAGTGTTAATCCCACCCACAAATGTAGAAGTGGATTTCTTATCTGTTTCCCCCCATTGAAAGTAGCTGTTTGTGCAGCAGAATGGTTTGATCATGCCACTGCATCATTAACAATTTTCTCTGTTAATTCAGAAGCTTCATTTTCTTGTATCACCTGTCCGTGTCTTTGTTTTTTTTTTTTTTTAGCTCCCCTAGTCTCCATTCCTATAAATAGCCTGTCTTCTTACTTTACACCTACGTAGAGCATCATTGATTTACCTCTCTGAGCTTTTCAGAAGCTACACCCATGTTTGGAGCCACCAGCCAAATCGTCTTCTTTTCTTAAAATCACCCGTGAAGACCTATCTCATGGGTGCTCCCACCCAATGGATGCAAGGCCTCCTCTAGCTTAGCACGTATGACCCCTTAGCTCAGAACCCTCTTGCTGACTGTCCACCTCCACCTCTCCACTTCTAATCTATTCTGCAGTCCACTGAAACCTGAATTTACAAGTCATTTCCCTGGGGCAGCCTTTCAGTCTCCTCTGGATTCGGTTAGGAGACTGAAAGCTACTATATGCTCCCACAGCACTCTTTATGATCCCTTTCATAACCCTCATCACAATTTATTGTAATTTCTTGTTTAATTGGACATCCAGCTCACTGGAAAAGAAAAAACAAACAAATAAACAAAAAACTATGTGATGCCTCACAGTTCTATTCCCAACACCAATCCAAGTTCCTGGCACATAGTTGGAAGATAATAAATATTTCTTGAATGAACAACCTTTTTAAAAACATTTTTTATTTTCAACTGCTTCTTATTTTCATTGAATGGTAGAACTTTTTTTGGTAACATGCATTCGCTTATCATTTCTTCTGTGTATGTAAAGCGACACAGAATTTCCCAAACTTGGCGATTTCTTTCTATTGCAGATTTTTTTTTAATGGAAAGAAAGAAAAAGAAAGTATCTTTTATGCTTTCAATCAATAATGTTTTTGTATACACATATTAGGAAAAGATTATCATAAGCACAGACCAAGGGCAGGGTTTCTACCTGCCTTATTCACTGTTTTCTCCCTAGCTCCTAGCATTCCTGCATCTAGAACATGGCTGGCACATACCTGGTGCTCAATAAATATTTATTGAGTGAATTAATGAAGGACAGAAATGTCACCAAATTCACTTCATTTATCCACATAGACTTTATTAACACATACATAAAATTATATACCAAATGTTGTGTTTGAAAATAATCACAACCGAAAACAGATGCTCTGTGTTTGAATGATCAATAGTCAAGTCAAATTCATTTATCCCAAGTATCTCGTCAAAGTCTTTTCCCGTTTATGACTTATGGTTTGGAAATAAAAGTTTCCAAACCAACTGACTGATGAAGCTGAGAGTATACTTAAGAAACAGTTGGGTTTTTCTTACTGTAATCCTGTATTCGTTTTCACTCTTAGAGGCATGAGGATCACAAACGCTGACTGTTGCATTTCTACCACTGGCAGCAGGATCCTTTAAAATGTCTCACTCATGAATGTCTTGTGGCACTTGTCTTGCCACTGAAAAGTGATAAGAATTCCATGAGATTTCACAGTTCTGATTTTCTAAAAAGAGAGTTAAAATATCACTCAGAGTTGCCTCTCAAATGAAAGTGCTCAAATTTCCACAAACAAATCAGCCTTTCAGGAAACTGTCCTTTTCTGTCCATCCACTTTCTAAGAGAACTAAATCTAGTCCTTATTCTTGTCGGTGGATTATCTACCACTTTCCATTAAAACACTGAAAAAAGAGTTTTTAAACTACAGTTAATACAAGCACCTCCCTTTTATTTAAGTTTACTCCAATCTTTATGCCCCGTTGTCAAAATGAAATAAACCAAGAATTCTTTACTTCCAATAAAAAAGAGCATGGCAATAGAATTTAGAAAGTCCAAACATCACTTAGCTTCTAGTTGCCTCAATTTCCTCATCTATTAAATGAAAATAGTAATATCTGCCCTATCCCCTGGGAGTTTGTGAAGTGTACATGAGAAGAAAGAACGGACCTCGCAAAGTCAACCCTGCTTTATGAATACAAAGGTCTTATTGTGCAAAATATTGCAAACCTGATTCATTGGTGCTGATGGCTTTCAGACTTGATTGAGTAGAAATAGGAATAAATGTTATTTTATTAACCACATTTATTTCACTTGTCATTCAGAACTCAATTGGATGTTAATGGTTGGAAAAAGAAATCAGTATCGTTTTACAATAAGACAGTGCTTGGGTCCTTTTCTTCTTTATGTTTTGTCATGTTTTAATTTTTCCTTGGGCAATAGCACAGATGTCAAAGAAACTCACATATATGTCAGTTTTCTCAATAGGCTAATTTATTATTTCCTTCTCCGTACTAAGCTTTTTTTCCTTCCCGAAGATGTTTTCATTTTGATCCTTGACTGCCAACCTGCTTAAAGCATTCTTTTTGAGATTTGTTCATTCATTCACCGTGTATGTATCGAGCATGTGCTACAGATGAGGCACTGAATAAAAATAGACACTGAATCTGCTCACACGTGGCTGAGTGTCTGATGGAGGGACAGACAAAGAATAGACAGAAAACATAATTACATAATTATGGACTGAGCTACGCGGACAACAGGGCGCGATGCTACACAGTAAGATGTGTGTGAGGGCGCACGTGTCTAGGTTGGTTGGTGAAGGGTTGCTTGAGGCAAAGCCGCTTAAGCCGAGACCTGAAGACAGAGAAGGTGCCAGCCATGGGAAGAGGGGAGAGGAACTGAGGGAGTGGGACACATGCTCCACGTGCGGAGGCCTGAGGCCTTATCGCTGTCTCTAAAAGAGATTGATGAGCAGCTTCCTAAATCTAGGACAAGGAAATAGACCTCTGGAACAACTTGAGCATTTGAACAGAGATGACAGCTGAGGAAATCCCTGTATGTGCCTTTCTCCTTGCGGCTGTTTCTGTTTTTTTGAGTCTCAAATGACTAAGTTTTCTCCCTTTATTTTCCTTCTAGCATGTTCGTGGGACAGAGGGTAGAAGGAGCTTGACAATCTCGGTCCTTTCGTGGCCTCCTTTCAGAATAAGCAACATTGTCAGCCGTCCTCCATATTCTTTTCCACTCGTCCCTATCTGCTTATTTATAACATATTTGCTTTAGAAATGTAGTCACCCTCTATGAAATCCGGATGGAATACAGTGCCTTTTAAAAAACCAGATTCTATCTCAGGATTTTCGCTCAGATCTTACGTGTGTCCTTGTCACCCACAAGTCATCCATCATCCTGTAACTTTCCAGTGACCACGTTACAATGCAATAAGTGTACAGCTAGAAAAAGCGTGGTGTTCGTAACTGCGACAGTGCTTCATGAGGAAGACAGACTGACCTGCTGCGTGGCTTTTTCCAACTCAGCGTCATTAACCCTTTGACTTCATCCGTTGAACTCTGACTTTCTGAAGACCGGAAGGGTCAGGGATCTCCCAGTAATGATAGCCAGTGACATTAATAAATTCCAGAAATAGAGAAAACCGAAATTCCAGATCCCCAAATTATAATTTATTGCTTTGAAATACAATGTTAGCACTGTGTCAAGGGAAGAGATCCGTATTTATATATTTGTATTTGTTTCATGGAATGTAGTCCTTATGTATTTTGCATTCAAAGTCAAACCATGTTTTTAGAAAGTACATTGTTTATCTTGGAAATTGTTGGCATCTTAACAGCTGACATATTGATACAAAGTCTTACGGAGCCTAGTTAGCATTAGTCATGGGGTTCCCTTGAGTGCCCTTGTCAATAATGCTCTCTGTGTGTTTGTTTCCTGTTCCCATAACTTATGGAATAATCTCTCATGGGTTTCATTTTAGGGTGACCCTGGATCGTCTGCTGCAGGAATTAAGGTACCTATAGCCTTACAAGTGTTTGTACTCCAGGAGTTATAGTTTTGATGTTTATAAGCCTCTGCTTTCTCTTCCCTTTGACCAAATTTGATGGTTATAATTCTGTTCCTATTCTCCTGCAATAATCAGCTTCCAAACTCAACAGGGAGTGTCTGCTGGAAATCTCATAAAGGCTTAAATAAGAGGTCTTACCTTCTCTTCCCTTTCTGATTGTTTTTTATGGAAATGTGGATTTGTATGTGAGCTTTAGGTATATTCACAGCAAAAAAATTTTCCTGTGTCTAGTGAGATATAGAGTAACAGAATAAAGTGAGAGCACATGCATGTGATCAAAGAGGGTGGGCCATCTCTGTGAAAGTGTCCAGAGGCCTAAGGGTTTTGGAAAATTCTTGTAAGACTGTCATTTTCATCTTTGGTTTTGTTTGGCTAGGGAGAACCTGGAGAATCTGGTCGTCCAGGGCAAAAGGTAATATCTCTATTCTAGCGTGTTCTTTGTACCGTCTCATAGTCTGCATTTTATATCTACTATCCACTGTGTAATATGAAAACAGTTATTGCAAAATGATGCAGTTTTCATGCTTTGCATGCAGAGTGTTTTGGTTGTTTTGCATTTTAAAGGGTTGATGCTGACCATAGAAAAAGTGAAAGCACACTCTGCACATGTAAAAAGTCCTAGTGTGGACTAGGGTCTGCGTAGACTGAGCTGTTTGAGACTAACAAAGATAGGTTGCCTTGAAATGCCAGTAACTTATCTTGCATGTTTAAGATACTCTGCATGTTTCTATCTTTCACAAGAAGAAATGAATATTTACTAAACTGTCTCAAAAGGGAATGATGGACAGTTCTTTTAAAATTATAGTCTTTTTCCTTTCGTTTCAAATACTTCCCTACTGATCATTTTTTATGTGACTGATATCTACCTGTGCAGTGAATGTTATGTTAAACAAGGAGATTTGTTCATAAACTAAATTTTAATTAGAGACACTAGCCAAACCACTTTAACTAACCGATCTGTGGATACATACATTAATTTTTTTTTATCATTGTGCTTCACTCCAGTGATAAATTAGAGGACATGCAGTGAATATGTTTAGATTCATATTCTCATTTGAGTCTGAGGCAGGAAACAACTGTTAGCAGTTTATTGTCTGAGCGTCTGGATATCAGTGCCCAGTGTAGTCAGATTTTAGATAACAGATGTATTGTGACGAACAAGTAAATGTGGATTCCACATTAGGTTAAATCTCTTAAGATCATGACTCTGCCTTTGTCTAGCAGTAGCTGATGTTGTAGAAAAACATATGAATGGAAACGTAGAATTTACCTCATTAGTGTAAAGGGGAAGAGAATAAATCCCATTGTAGTGGTTTGGAGGCTTAAAACATAATAAATGACGTTCCCACATCCTGGAAGTCATTGAGAAGGGTCATTGCTTTGTTTTAAACACTTAGAAATAAAGTAATTTTTGATAAGATCTTTCACATTCTTTTAACATTTCTCTAATTTAAAAATAGATTTTTCTCTTGAAACTAACAATCTAAGAGTAATGATTCATCAGGCCCAATTTCAGGTAAAGTTGAAACTTTCTCAAAGAGCCCGGGAGAACTGTGCAAATTTTGCTCTTCAGTTCCTAAGATTTCCTCCTGATTCTTATGTAAGAAATTTGAAATTAGTGATATCATTAGAGATCTATGGTCTGCTTCGGTTTGAAAAAACAACTGATCTTCTCAGATGATCTAATTTTAGGTCCCTTACTCTTTAAAAATTAAAGGCTAACATTTAAACTGCTCTCCAAATCTGTGATATGCTAAAAGAAATGTCTGCAAGACTGTTAGGTCTTTTTAAGAAACGAAACAAAACAAAAAATTCTGCTATAATCTCATATAGGTGCTACTATTTTCAGAGTGGAAGATCCAAATTGGTTTTCATTTGCTTAAAAAACATCGCCTTGTCATAATTATTTAGAAATAGAGTTTAGATTCATTTCTGGAAGTTTATAAGTTTACATATGGAAACAGTGGATTTCCTTTGTATTTCTTTAAAAAGCTGTTTTAAATTATATTGAGTGAAGGGGTGGATTCATTAAAAACTTATAACCTATCTGAATGAATATGTGACCTGAAATGAGCAGCATCTTTTTTATTAATATTTAGGCCAGATTCTACCCTTAGACGCAATCTCACTTTCCCACAATATTTATGACTTCCTTTGTCTGATATCTGGATTTGGCAATACTTACCCCAACATTGATTTAAAAGTAGAGTATTTCCCTGTTCGATGCTCACTTAGCTTGGAAAGTGGCAGACAGAACTGCGTCCAGAATCAATTTAAGACCTCTTCCATGGCATTTCTCTCACCATCGCAGAACTGTGTTGTGGGCTCATTGGTACTTAAGCTTCTGCCCTAGGGACGTTCCCAGACAAGTGGAGACTATCATGACAGAACAAAAAGGCCAGTGATTAACTTTCCACTGTTTGGTATTTTGCAGTATGAAAGTTTGTTATTTAGAGTAATATTCATAATGTAGGAATGATTTCGTTATAGTTTTCTTTTTCTTATACAGACTCAACAGTAGAGTGTGCGATTGATACATGAGTTAGAGAGTGTATATATGTTTGTAAAGTGAGTGTGTAGATTTATAAAATAGTTATTGTTTCATCACATGATTTTTTCCTTCCTAACTTCTCCACATCTTTTAAAAATATATCTTATAATTTTAAAGAGGTAAAAATACTTGACCTCCCATTGGAAGGAACCCTCACAGTTGAACTATATCCAGAAATACAGGGCACTGTCCGGGGACGTGGAGTGAAAGCAGAATCCCGTCTTTGACAGCAAACAAGGTCTCCTATAATGGAGAGTAAAGAGTGAAAGGGGAAGAAAAAAGAAAACCAGAAGTATAATTTATCTGCATAGCATTTCATCTACTTGGACAAGTATTCTTTGAATGGAATAACAAACCAGTTCTTAATTATGACCCAGATCTGACCTTGGGCTGTGCAAGCCCAAGAACTCAACTCAGAGAAGCTCCTGAGCCAAGAAATAGGCAAGGATGGAAAAATTGACTGAAAAGCTGTCTCTTAATTGAAAGATAGGCCTTCAAGGTATAAAGGTAGAGAATTTATGTAGGAAGAAATGTCTTCCTAAAAATGCTAAGAGATGTTTCACAAAGGGTAACATTAAATATTTTATAATCTTTCACTGTGTCAACCTTTAAGTAAAAATAGATTTGGAAAGGTCAACTTTATAAAAATCCAAGACTATGAAATATGAATTCCTGAAATGTTTGTTCATTATAAAGTACATTTTTAACCTGTATACATACATAATACATACACATATGATGTAGGGAATGGCTAAATGCTCCAAGTCTCTGTAAGTATTCAATCTACATTGTAAAATACTCCGTAATGTCTTGTACATCTTTCTCATTGTTAGAAGACATGGGTGTGTGTCTGTGTATGCATATGTATATAAACATCTTTCTTTAAAGTAGTCACATGATCCTTTTAATTTGGTGAGAGGGAAGGGTGTGGTGAGAACTGTTGGAAACAGTGTTACAACCTATACATTTGCACACGAGTTTCAAATAGGATGTCCCCAGTTTGGGGGACTTTCCTAAAACCATTCAAAACTACAGATTTGTCACCAATATGTCTACTTTTATTGGTTGTATATTCTACTGCAATTTACTGTGTTTTCAAGGGCTTTATACTTTTTTTAAAGTAAAAAAGAATCTTCAGTAAAATATAGATACAAGCCCTTTTTACTAGATCTTCCTATATTTATTAATTGAAGGGCAAAAGGGAAAGAAAACGGAAAATCCGAAGTCTAATGTTGGATCTGTGTAAAGTTTAATCTACGTGAATAATATTCTTTGGAATATCAAATTCTTAATAATCATCCTTTATTCTCTGGCTTAATCTCATCTTAGTTTTATTGTTCACAATGCAAACTTTCGTTTATATAGTTTCAGATAAAATAGCTTTCTTTTGCATTCCTGAAGCACCTTTAACCTAAGCCATCAGGAAAGTCATTGTCCTTTCTGTGTCTAACCATACAGCTTAATAAACAGCATCTGAAGTCATTTTGTGATAATATAAGAGCAAATTATGGCTCTTCATAATTTGAAAGTAATAATATTAAAGATGAAATATCTGTTTGTTCTTAGTAGAGTTTCTTTGGAATGAGGATTGTTAAGGCATTTAGATTAAAAGAAAGGCCTCCTCTGCCCCTTTTATTGTTAGTCTTTTAGTATAGTTGTCATCCCACTAACTGACCATGATGAAACCTTCAAATGTTATTTCTGCAAATAATAGTCACCTCAATCCAAGATAGGATGAACTTGCATTTTCTCTGGTGATTCCTTTATGCTTCTTTAGTGGAATTCAGGAGATTTTCTAAGCAATGTAACCTCTTGTCACTATACTTTGTACTTAAAATAATGTAGGCTGTTCTGTGAAAATGAGAAGATCTAGCTTGACTCCAGTGTGCTCACCCACAATGTGCTACTTAATCTCAAACCTTTATTCAGGAACAGCTGTGTGGGACCATTAGCCCTAAATTGCTAAGCAGGGCTACCCAGACTCAACAATTGTCAGAAGTAGGGGCTAGAGTTAGTATAGTCTTAACCATGCATTTATCTTCTCATCATTCAGGAATGGAAAAGAAATCTTACCATACTTTTAAGTGAGCAAGACTTTTACTGTATGTTGTTTTGATGTGACCATCTGTTCATACAGCCAACTCTTGATTGTGTGAGGTAAGAGAGCGGTGGAGTAGGATGCATTATTCAAATGTGCACAGAATGCTCATTTCAGCAAATGGCTTCAGCCTCCCCAGCAAGTTGTTCACCAGGGAGTAATAAAACACGGGAGTTCTCCTTTTACTCCTCTTCCTCGCCTTCTATGAGCTGTGAACTGGCAGGAAAAGGGAAAATCCTGAAAAATCTGCAAAATGGTCAACCAATCCCTGAATCAAGAGTTGACTGAACTGTGTAATCTCACCAATCTTCTTGAAACTAGACAGTGCTTATAGATATATATATATATAGTATCTATATATATACCAAGTATTCAGCCCGGAGCATTTGCCGTGTTTTTCTCCAGATACTGTGCCTGAGTGACTGTTGTCCTATAATGCTGTGTGATTTTCCTGTGTAGGGTGAACCAGGGCTTCCTGGGCTGCCTGGACTTCCGGGGATAAAGGTAAATACTGCATTGACTGTAATCGTGAGAGTCTCAAAAATCGGAGGAAAATAGGAAAAAAAAAAGAAAACTAAAAATATAGTGCTGTTCTTTACATTCTCACCAGCCATCTCAACCAATTAAAATTTTTAGTTAAAAATTAGGCATGGGTATTTCTAAAGTTTGCCATTGCTATCTGGGCAGTATATTCCGCTGTTTAACCTACTATGCCCCTTGAATACATGCAAAAGCCACTTCATTTGAAGTCATGGGAATTCTTTAAAGTCTAGAAAGTCTACCTTCACATTTAAATTTTATACTTAAGATCCTATCAGATTTTGACTGGCATTAAAGTCTTAACATCCCATAAATCTCACGTTCAGGCAGCTGTTGTTGTGATTCACCCCTTATAGTAATCCCTCCACAGCGTTTTGTGCTTTCACTTCCTGTCAGTAATTCTCACTGCAAAGTACAAATCGTGTTACTAAACTGTTTTGACCCATATACTATTCCTGTAAACTTTTTATGTATCTTTTGAAATAATTGCTTAAAGCTTAGTTTGAGGACATTGTCTTACATATTTTTAAACCATCTAAAAATGTTTAAAAACATTTTTAAAAAATTCTCACATGGTAACTGATAAGGCGTACAAGTTCTACTGCCTCACCTCTAGTTACTGCTGTAAAATCAGCTTCTTATTTTAAAGTTATTTTTTAAATTCTGGAACTATTTCATAGGGGAACATAATGCAAGTAGATTTTTCCTTACATTGTTCTCATCTTATAGAGTTGTAAATTAATTTCTAGTGTGCGTTAAACTTTTCTAAAATTAATATTCCTAGTTTCAGTGTGAGGGTTGTATATATTGTTTTATGAAGGTTGTGTTCAAAGTGTGTTACATGAGATCATATGATTTTAGAATAAATATGTTAAACTGTTGAGTTCCCAGACATCGTATGGTATCATATAGAATATTTTATGAGTATATTTGGTATAATTAACAGACATGAAAACTATGTTTTCCAGGTTGACGCTCAGAAATTTTTGTTCTGCTTTTTGTTTGATATTTCCAGATTAGTATCATAGATATTCAGATATATCCTTTTAGTGTATTTTTAGTCTTTGGCATCTTCAGTGAAGAAGTACACTCTATGACAACAGTTTACTCAAGAGTCAAAGTCATTTGCTTATCATTTGATATTAGCAAAAGTAACTTAATAAATTAATAGGTGATTTCATATTGTAGAGTTAATTTGTGGCAGTTCCTTAGTAATTCCCACACATTAAAAAAAAAGGAACCTTTTACAAATGATTGAAAGATCATAGATTTTTAAAACAAATTTGAGAAAATTGTATTCAGCATTAATTAAAAAGAGCTTGGTAGCATAAATAAGGGGAAGACATTTAAAATGAGGGGTACCTTGGAAGGTGTGGGGCAGGGTTTCCTGCAGTGTTGATGTAGTTGAGCAGGGTTGTGCTGCCAATGCCAGGGCGTGTGGCAGGACCCTCAGTGCTGTGTCGAAATCTAGCTGTCCCTTCTCCTGGGTATGAGGCGCTGTCTTGGTGAGAGAGAGTACATAAGGGTGAAGGTATTGGATGTTTTCCCTCCAAGACAAGCAAACAAACAGAAAATAATTTCAATTACTACTATTTGTTAACTTTACCTTTTATTTATTTTATGTCCTCCACCATGAAAAATAGCCCAGGGCACTTCCCTAACCATCTGTGGACCAGTCTGAATGTTTTGAACTTTTTCAAATTGGGAAGGATGTTGGTAATTTGGCACCTCAAGTAAATGCTTTTATTCCTAGGGTCATAGGAAGTTGCCAAATTTTGTCGAGATCATATAGCTATTTTCTTGTTTTTCCTAATCTTGACTAGTGACCGTAGTGACGAGAAGCTATCAATTGACAAAAACCTTTTCATCATTCACTGGAGATGCTTTTCTGTGTAATTATCAAGTACTGTTTGGTAACTATCCAGTATTTGATTTAAATCACAGATTCTATTTTTGGATTAATAAGCTTTGTCTTCTTGCTCTAGTTCAGGATGTGAGCGATATGCTTTCCTTATAATGTAATAGGTGCTCAGTGTAAATAAGTAATTTTGTAAAGGAGACCTTTAAGAACACAACGCAGTTATCAGTAGTCATTGGATATTTATACATGTAGAGTTAAAAGTTTATAATTTTATGATATAGCTTCATTAACTCGGTATGTTCCTTATTTCTTTAAAAAACCCTTCTTCTGTTAGGTAGCTAACCCCAGGACAGTTAACCATGATTTCATACTTTGAGTGAGTACCAATATTTAGAAGATGAAACCACCATGTATGGATGTAGAATGTGTGGTAGCAGAACATTAGTCATGGCCTCCCTAGACTGGTGTGTTGGTTTATGCTTTGGAAGTACTTCCCGTTGCTGTTTATCTCCTTCTCATCTACTGGCACTACAGAGAGCCTGCAGGTGCCACCCGTTATTTCCAAGACATTGAGGAAACCAGCCGTGACATACCAGGGAAGCTTTGATTTGCCATCTGTTGCTCTCGGGGAATGGCTGGAAACTTAATGAGCATCCAAATGCCTTCCACACTGCTCTCAGGAAGTGAGCAAAGACCCTAAATACAGAGAGCAGTCTCATCTGTCTCTCACCTCAGGGTCCCACTCAGAGAAAAGTGCTAATGCCTTAGGCATACATGATAAAAGTCACTAAGAACCAGCGTAACTTAATTTCAAACCACTCTTAAGCTTCCAGCATAAGTATTGGAAAGTCCTCTGACCATGCGGAAGACATTTGGAATTTCTATTTCATGCATTCACGGTTCATATAGTGTCAAGATGTTCAACTGGGAAAATTAAATTATGCACAATGTACCATGCAGACATTGATCTTCTGGAATAAGATTTGAGCTCAGAACATTATTTTTATAAATAAGCCTTCAAATATATTTTTCATGGGTAAAACTTAGTGTAACTCGCTTTTCTGATACCACATAAAAGGGTAAGAGTCAAAGTTCTTGTTTTTAAAAAATTTTTCTGTCCACACTTATTTTGAAAAATGTAACTACATTACATCCCCCTTTTACGATTATATTACCCTAGTAATTAAGCAGTATAAAGCAGTGGTCAAGAACCCTGACTTATAACCAGATCACTGGTGTGCAGATCCTGGTCCTACTCCTCACCAGTTTATGAGGCTATAGCATGGTGTTGGGCAAGTTACATAATCTCTCTGTGCTCTGGTTTCCTTATAAAACAGGAATCATCACTGCACATAACTCGGAAGGTTGTTTTGAGGATTAAAAGAACTAATATATGTGCAGCTCTTAAAATATTGCCAAGATTATAGTAAATACTATATTAATTTTAGTTATTGTCATTTCTTTCTCTTGGAGCAGCTCAGAATATTGGAGACATTGGTTATGAACCTGTTCTATATAGTCTTTCATCATGTGAGTAATTTTAACCTAGAGAACATGAAGCCGTTTATACTCTACAGGGTAATAAATAGATGTAGATTCTGAAAACTCCTTGCAGTGATGGATGAATGTTACCTTAAGAGCAGTAAGATCATCTACTTTCTCTTGAAACATGACATCACACTATGCCCCTTTTCCTATAGCCCAAATATATTCCAGGAACAAAGCCTAAGGGAATACAACGTCCTGGGCCTAAGACACAGTACTGTTGAAGTTCTCCTTCCCGGCACTGTTCACAGGAAAAGCAAAAGGAAACCTTGGCAAGTAATGATGGAAACCCACTAGCCCACAGGCACAATATTGCCTAGCCCTAGACATTCTTTACAAATACGGATTTTCAGTGCTTGCTTTTCTCCTTTCAACATAGACCACCAGTTTATCGCATCATATTCAGAAGATAAATAGGAAAAAATTTACGTAATACTTAAAATTAAATAAATTAATTAATGTAGTAGGGCAACATAATACAGTAAAAATTACATCAAATCAGGAAAAACAAATCATTTAGGAGGCAAAGAAATTTTTACAGTATTTTCCCTGAAAGCTTGATATTTTTGCTCTGGCTTCCATATTAGTGAAAATTTGATATTCAGATCAAGAACTTGAGGATTGGGAGGGTACGAGACAGTAACTGACTCTTTATACCTCATTATGGGAAATCATCCTTGACACTAAATCACAGGAAGACTAACTTCCACAGGTGGCAGAAACGTTTACTTGGCATTCTTAGGATTCAGTAGAGTGTTCAGTCATCTAATAGAAGCTTATCTTCTAAATCCACTGGAGATGAGGTTCCTTCCTCAGAAACATCAAATCACGTTTTTAAAAATAGCAGAGGAAAGTTTTTGGAAGTAACATAGGATGTGGAATGAATTCCTAAAAGAAAAAAGAAAAGGAAGAAATACTGGTTAAAAGGATGACACTGTGTTATTGTTACATGTAATTATTTTCTGCTTGTACGAAGTGCGTCTGAGCAGTTGAGTAATTTAAGAGTCCAATTAGGACACTCATACAACTAGAAATCAGAGATTTTTAGCAGCCATAATGAAACCTCCAATAAATAGACTGAATGTGCTTTTGTGATGTAATCCTGTTACGGAAAAAAAAAATCAGAAAGGTATATTTTCTGGATTTTAAATAAACCTGCTATTGTAGTTCATTTTCATCATAGCCACCAAGATGTTTTAATTTATACAGATTTGATCCTTAAGGGAAATAAGTGTTTTTGGGACAGACTCTACTTTCTCATTCTTTTTTTCCCCTCAATAATTTTATAAATCAATCACTACCAAAACTGGCTGCCTGGAGGTTCTTATTACAACAACCGTTCTTGCTATAATCCTCAAAAGCAGGTATCATGCTGACTTGAATTCTAATTAGCCTTTAAGCAAGAAGAATATTGTATGGCTAATGCATTCAGTGTCAAGACACATTAATCAAAATTATTGGTGATGCTTTTAGCACCCAGGCAAATCACATATTTTTCAATCCCTGTTGTACTATTTTTTGGGCAATGAAAATTGGAACTGCTTGGGGGTGATAAATA